AAACAAGGTACACAAAGCGTCTTTAAGAAGTTAGAGCTTACCTCTTGGAGACCAGCCATGTTTTAGAAAGCGTGCAAACTTGTCAAGCTTTGTTCGTGAAATTCCTTGTAGTAGCGTATTCGAACCATGCACGGTATTTTCTGGAAACCGGAAGTGAAGCACTACGCGTGCGTCCTTCACAGCTGCATGGCGGGAAATGGGTTTTAAATTTGGCGGGAAACTTTGAATCGTCATTATGAAAACGTGTTCTTTCGATGGACAGCATAACTTTCCCTAGCCTGGGTACCATCCGGATTTTCGCTACGCAACGCTCGAAAAAAATCGATTTTTTCGAGCGTTGCGTAGCGAAAATCCGGATGGTACCCAGGCTAAACTTTCCCCACGATTTGGTCTTGATATTCCAATCAACTGCCCCAAACATTAACATTAACATTTCTTTTCCTCCTTTTTTGAAATAGGAAAATGTTTACTCAAGCAACTGGATATGATTTTTGGCGTATCGTATTATCTGGATGTCTAACCTTCATCACCTAGGAAAATGTTTGTACAGTAAAATTTCTGCTAGAACCAAGGAGCTTCCATTCATGCTATTAAAAAACCAATGATTGAACCTCCTCGAACCACAAAAATACTTTATATTTGGTCTCTCTGGTCTGTTGGTCTCTTTAAACTTTGTAATCGTGATATTGATGACGAAATTTGCTAGCCCGTGTTAAATGTTAATCATTAACATTGCATGTAATGTTACATAGGGAAGAATAAGACATACACAAGAAATTCTACAGTAGATGCTCATCAATGTATTCTTCTATTGGTTTGATAATACAAAAGTTGAGGCTTGAATAATATGTTCACATTTTCTTCCATTTTACCACAAACTCATTTGAGTTTTTTCAACTTCACTAATTTGGCTTCACATCGCTTGCCTTGACTATGTCTAAGACTTTACCATGTCTACTCCTCAAAATCGTCTCATATGAAAATATCCTTTAACTCTTGTTTATCATGAAGAATTCCTCTAGTCTATCTTTGTTCCTCACTTAGATAAAGTACCACAGGAATAAAACAGTACTGATACTAGTGATAGAAAACAGCTTGTTGTACAAAAATTAATGATACATCAAATGGTTACATGTACAAAGAAGTATGGAAAACTCTTTAACAAATTGGCATAACTACCAGTTCACCATGTTATTTTCTCTGAAGTTTATATCTGTGATAAAGTATATAACACTACATGTATTTACATGTTTTTCTTTACCAAACCTAGGTGTAGTCTTACAGTTAAAACATGGGATCATTGAAAATTATTGTGTTCTTGTTTCGCATATTGCTAAACCTTTTCAAGTCGGAATTAACTCATTCAATTAATACACATGATGAAGATAATAAGATGACAGCGTTCCTATCGTAAGACACGTTTCATGAATGTGTTGACGAGCTGGAAGAAGGCGTGTTCCTGTGAGGATCCGAAGGCCATCCTGGGCGTGGCCCCTCGCTGGAACTGCTGGGGACTGGGCAGGGTGGAGGCACCCGGGGAGGGGGGCGCACCTCGCTTGATGTAACGCTGCAGACTCAGCAGAAATGTGCCCTGTTAAATGAAAAAATATGCAGTGTTGGAAAGGGCATTCAGTACAATGTACATGCATGTGCATCTTATACTACTTATGTGCATCTTATGGATACCTATAACAAAATTGTGACACTGTAAAGCACAATTTTTTCATGGTACGGTTTTCGCAGTCACTTGTACTGTGAACTTATCATTACCGCGAACAAATAATTCATGGACTTTCTTTCAGTTCTGTATAGTTTCACAAACATGTTCACTATTCTCAGACCGTGAACTTTTCTGTAAACAAAGTGATTTAAAGTACATAATCATTACCTCACATAAACTCCTACCGGTAATGCTAAAGGCAGATAGCACCCTTGCAAGATTTCTAGTTCTTTCAATGTATAAAACTTATGACTTTTTGTGAAAGAGTTTTTAAAATACATGTATTTCATCTGTTCTGACCAGTTCAGTGCTGAGCTCCCTCTTCATGAGCTGCTTGTCCCTGACAGGTATGCCAGGTTCCCTCAGGTAGCGAGCTGCCTGGGACATCAGCACCAGGAGGGAGTTCTCCAGGATGTACAGGACTACTGGTCTGAAAGGGAACAAAAACATATCAATGTGTGAACATCATATTCTTCATACACTTAATGAAGGGCTGTTTCAGTTTCTGTTTATTATTATCCTTGTGATCCTCAATGTATAAACAATGGAAACAATATGTGATCTGTGCTAATTTTAAAAACAAATTGCTCAAACTATTTGGACACTTTTATTAGAAAAAAAAAAGGTATTTTTGCTCCACACTAGAAACCGTAGCAAACACAATCATCCATTTCTCTTTAAAAAAAACTGGCCAGGAAGAACAAAGCAATTAGAAGAATACAATGTCATTGCACATTTCTCTATGTTTAGACATGAGGATTATGTGACAAAGTCACCACTACATCCTTTCCTCTTTAAACAGACTGGCCAGAAAGAATGAAGCAATGACAAGAATACATAACACATTTCTCTATGTTCCGACATGAGGATTACATAACATAGTTAGCACATACTTCTGTACAGGAGCAGGTCCTGCAGGAGACTTGACAGGTGAGGTGACTCTGCTGGGCTCCACCTTCACCAGCAGTCTCAGTCCCAGGTTCACACAGGCCAGCAGGGTGCCCAGGGAGGGCGGCGAGTCCTGGTCCACTGTGGGGCTGCCGAACGCCAGGGCAAACATCAGGGGGTACTCACTCACATCCATGGCCTGGGGGGAAAATACAGGGCCATGATAGGACAACAGATCAGCCACTATTCATATGATGACACAGGAGTTTCTTTTAAACTTCTGTTGTTAGTTTGTAAATGTTACTTTTTACATGTTTTCATTTTGTATAATTTTGTGTGTTTTTTGCCTGTAGATATGTATTCATCTTCCATAATTTGTATTTGAGCCCTGTAAGATTAGCTGTAAAGCTAACAGGTATCAGAATAAAGAGAAAAAAAGTTGAAACTTGTCAATGTTAGCCTATTAGATAACTGATTGATAGTATGACTGACTGAGCAAGATTTTCATGGTAGCCAATGAAAGAGGTTTTAAGATATTACCTGGTCCAATAGGATCTCACACAGGTTGGGAGTCAGATGTCTCAGCATAGACAAGGAGTTACCCAGAATCCTCAGCAATCTGTAAAGAGATATGTGGCACACATTTAAAATACCCATAAAAATATATATTAATCATATACACTAGATAGTTAGAATGTAAAAACCTCTGGGCCATATAGATGGCAATTAACATGACTGCCTTTCTTTTGCAACAATTGTTAGTGGTCAAAGTCCCATAATTTCAAAGAAAGACTGTCTAACTTTGCAGGGCACTAATTTTACAATGGGCACATTGTGAGGACAACCCACCTCCCCTGGACCTGGAGAAGCTCCTGGCTTGGTTTGTCCACATCATCTGAAGAAGAGGAATGTCGGAGGGTGCGAGTCACCGAGGTCTGTCTCTGGGGGGTGCCTCTGGGCTGCTTTGTGTTGGACTGTACCATGTGGTCCAACAAACGGGGGCGGGACAGCAGGGCTGCACAGGTGTGGACAAGATGGCATACAGCCTCCTGCAAGAAACCAAAGCAGCATCCATTGCTAAAACATGCATGTTATACAGTTTCAAATATCATCAAACAAATTTGAAATCCAGTCATACTACGATTTTTGCAAAAAGAAACACCAAATCCTTGACTACACATGGGCAAATATGCTGTACAGAGATGACAATTTTGTATTGTTTTAGTTGACGAAAGTGTCTTTATAATTATTGTAATTAAACTAAAAGTTGCTGTACACTTCACACAATGCACCAGTCAAGACAGTATCTCACCTTCATTGCCTGGTGCAGCTGAGGCAGGTGGAACTGCCATTCTCGGCTGTGGTGAACCAGTTGGAACAGGAACAAACTGGTTTTCTCCACCTCCAGCAGGCAGGCTGGTGACAGGTTGGACCGGACAGCAAACAGGCACTGCAGGGAGGATCAACATAAACATTAGAAGTTCACAAAAGGTGGGGTCCTAAAATATCATCATTACATTCATATTCTTGACATTTTGTAGAGAATATAGTTATCCCAGGCATTTCATTAATAACAACTCAGTACAGAACCTAAAGGGGGTATCAAATATTGTCTTGTTCAGATCATAAAATTATTGTCTTAATACCAACAATTACCTGCAACATTCTGTCCTGATGGACTCCAACAAAATCTAAGGCATCCGACAGAAAGTCGTGCTTCAGTGTGCCCAGGAGTAAAGCCTCCAGGTCTAGCGCCATCCTGTACACCCCCGGCCAGGATGGTGCGTCCAGGGATTTCTCACTACCATTTATGGATGACAGGACTGTACCACTGAGGTCCTGGGGGGACTGGTATGTGGTGGACAGTGGGATACACAGGTGCTGGGTCACTCCACTTCCAGCAAGCACAAAGGCAGCCTGGAAGAAGATAAAGAAGTTTTTTGTTTAACTTCACATGAACTTACGTAAGCATTGAGAATGAAACTATACTACCAGCATACTTCACACTTTATATTTTTCTGAGCGCAACATTTTTCTGAGCAGAACTTTTTTATGGCATACATATATTTTTTTTAATGCAAAGGAACTGAAATTTTGAAACAAAAGCCTGAAATAGTGTAAGTGAAAACAATCTTGCTAAAACTCCTTTCATACCTTGGGTTCTTTTGCAGTTGTGAGGAAGAGCTGCATTGCAGTCTCCACAAATGCCAGGTTCCTCCTGCTGTTGAGACATGTCTCCACTGTGGCCAGGAGGGCCTGTAGGAGACAGTGTCTTCTCATGGCTTCTAACCACACCTCTGGTACAGAGCACAGGGCCTCCAGTACACACACAGACTGGTTCTCCAACTGGACAGTGGGATACAGGACATCATGAGTCAATATAGGAATAAACTGTCAACTACCACCTTCTTGTGGCTTGTAACTAGAGGTATGACATAGAACACAGCAATTATTTTTGATGCACTATATGGTCCTAGATCACTCACTCACTCACACACACAAGCACACACTGACATAGTATACATAAATACAAAATGTACACACATTCACACACACATACTCATACACATTCACACAAACACAAAAATGTAATCTATAACAACATTAACTTACAGAGTAGGTGTCCTTCTTAGCTGCCATCGCAGCTGCATCACCATTAGCTGTGTCATTGTTCTCTCCCTGGCCATTGGTGCCTGATGTTTTCCCAGACTCCGTAGGCTGTGGTGGTTTGTAGATGGTGGCCTCCTGTACCACAGTACACACTACAGATAGCAGTCTGGACACCAGTTCTGTATCTAGGAGGAACAAAATGAATTGGTATTGTTTCTAAATACAGTATCTGAAATTTATGATGTGTTTCAATTCACCACTATAAAAAAACACAAGAGGCAATAATGTTGCTTTCTACAAAAATACTGTTACGTAGGAAGTTTATCACAATGACAATTGTATCAGACACTGCCTCCATGGACGACGATAAGGAAAGTACAAGTACCTTCAGTGATGCTGTCCTCTCCTTTTACTTTCAGTAATGTGAGGATGGCAGACAAGAGCGGGGTTTTGATCTTTTCCAGTGGCTGAGAATTCCCTACCACATCCTCCAGGATGGGTACAAGCTTCTCCAACTGGCTGAGGGGCTGCAGACTCCTGTATACAACAAACCGATAAAATAAGTCATGTTGAACTTCCTGGCTTTTCCAAAAAAAATTACCAGTTGACGACATACGGTGAATGCATGTACATGTATAGTCTGATATTTTTTTAAGTGGAACTTACCCCTTCCAGTGTGGCAGTAGGGCAACATACAGACCAGTCAGCATAGTGGCTGCCTTCACAGTCAGCACTGAGTCAAGATGGGACACCTAGGAAAGTACACACTGAGTCAGTATTGCAAGTCTATCTCGTTGAAGACACATTGATTTTGGCCTAATGCCCCCACCAAACGACTGCTTTTGAGGAATTAGCAAATATACACCCCTTCCACCAGAAACAAGTCAACACCACTGAAAAAAGGGTAGAACACATATCATATCATTGGGTGCTGAAACATAACTACTGAGCCTTTATGGAAAATCTTTCTGCGTCACTCTTTCGATACTCCATAAAACACCATGAATTCGTGAGACTACCGAGGATCATAAACTTAACATCCAACAGGTGACCCACCAGTGTAGTAATCCCAGTGAGGATGTTCTGTATGATCTTGACCTTGATGTTTTTATCCGCCAGGTGCATGGCTGTCTCCTGACTGGCTGCCACCAGCAGGACCACCCTGCAGGCGGACAGGAACACCAGGTATGGGTTCTCCCTCAGGTGGGCGGGGTCTACTGGTCCCTCCTCCTCACACAGGTGGTCTACCAGGCTGGTCAGGTACTGACATGGCAACAGGGATAGTCTCAGTCAAGAAAACAGGCCTTTAACATATATAACTTGTATGCCATACATGTACATGTACATATGTTTTGAGCATTATCAACATCTACTGGGTATATCTCTGTTCAAACTAGATTAAATGTGGTGTATACAACATGCCCTGTACTTTGAAAAATGCATGAAATAATTGACAAGTTTCTTGCTACTTTAGTTGGCTAGATGTTGCTTTCTTCGGCAGTACAATGCTGTAAAATTACTTCTTGTGTGAACATACCTCTGACCAATGGATAAACCTTTTCTTTTCAGCAAAGTCTTTCAAGCACTTCTTCAACTCCTTGTCTGGAGAGGAGCTGAAAGAAAGAAAGTAAATAAAAGATAAACTAAATCAAGTGTTCATGCCAGTGTCAATTCATCTCTGACTTGTTTTATTTTCATGAATTTATTATTCTATCCAAAATCATATGACATGAAAAGAGTGTGAAAACATTCATTAAATTTTTAACATCTCATCTATGTGACTCTTATTCATAAACAGATCAGCCATAAGATCCCATACCTCCCTATACTGTGCACCTCCATAGCCATGATGTTCATGACGTGTGCACATGTCTTCAGCTGTCCTGTGGCCACCTGTGGGTTAGTGTGGATAGAAGGCAGGTCCTTCTGTAGGGGCAGCAACAGGCTTTCCCAGAACTTCTCTCTGAAATAACATCATAGACAACAGTGTACATCACAATATGTAATTATTTAAGTAGTACAGAATGAATTTTTCCAGAAAAATTTCCCTGCTGTCTAAGTAACTGTTTTTTGGCGTATCTTATTACCTGGATGTCTGACCTTAACCAACGTAAATAAAATACATCACAAATATTTTCTCTATGATTTTGTACAATTGTCAGCAAGTTCCTTACCTGCCCCTGAGTACAGACAGAGCTCCATCTCTCCTGTCCTGCCACAGGGCATGTAGGAAGGCCACAGCAGCACAGTGCAGGTCAGGAGGACACAGGTATGTCCCCTGCTTCTTAGCCTCTATCATGTCTACTGCTGCCTGCAGACAGCTGTTCTTTCCTACTGTGAACTCCTATAGAACATGGATAACATTAGAAGTGAGTGAAGATTTACAGACAAGGCATTTTGCTCCTGCTTTCCTATTAAAGACAAGTATTTATGAAGCTAATCTTTTGTGAGAAGGCTCGATGCACAAATTCTATCCTTGGCTAAATACTAATCGACAGCTACATGTAGAAAGCAGCATACACTTGTACATCTAAGAAATAGCACAAAGAGTTCAGAAAGTTTTTCACTGTAGTCTGTCATCGAAATTGTTCTCAACGGCATTTGTACAAAAGAAAAGTTGATGACCTTGACCCCCTGTTTCCCCTCCTTGGTCTGCAGGTTCAGGAATAGTTCCGTCAGTCCTGGCTGTGTCTCTACTGCAACAGTCAGCCATTCCAGGATTACCACCTTCAGCCGCAGGTCCTGGAAACAGGAGAATGTACATGTGTAGGTTGCAGAAACTGAAGCTGAGTTACATGACACTGTATGGACAGTCATAGGAGTCACAGAGGGTAGAGATCATGTATACACCTATATTATCCCATTTTCTGGAAGTACATGTAGTAAAATTTCCATAATTTTTCAACGGCCTTCATCAGAATTATACATCAGTGCAAGAAATAATGTCATAAAGCACTACATGTATCCTAAAGCAAACACAAATGACTGAGAATTACAGAGAAAATATACCCCAGAAGCTGACCTCAGTTTTGGCCTGCAGACGTGTGAGGTACATGTCCCTGATGGGGATAGCCTGGTCCCCCAGACAGGCATGCACAGACATAGGAGCAACCTGCAACGAGTACACCATAGGGGATATTGTCAATGCTGAAACAGCTCTAAGATAAATAGTAGACATCCTTCCTTCTTGAAACAAGATGGTAGCACTCTGGTGTTATGGTCATGGGAGGTCAGCACAGTAGACATAGGTACGATATTATGAAGGAGTTTTCAAGCAGTTTCAGATCTACATTTTTGTACTTACTACTTACTACTACTACTTTTAACTCACCATTTGCTTCCCTTAACATTGTTTGAAATAACATATACCATGTACTGTATAACCAATACAATGTGAATACATTATGCATAAGATACTGGTTTACATCAAGGAAGGTCCACAATACTAGTATAGGCAAGTGGACCCATTCCCTTATTTGCCATTACAAAAATAATTACAATCTATGACTATGAGCAAAATTAGAGTAGAATTTTTTTGTACCATTTTGTGATACATACCTGTGAGAGCCTTTTAAGCATGAGCGTGGCGAGTCGTGTGAGCCTGACGTCATGACGATGGTAGACGTACTGCGCGATGACAGACACCAGGTGTTTCCCCTGCTGGGCCCCGCCGGCGTGGTACGTCAGGGCCTGCTCCAGGGGCGAAGTCGTCTCACCGTCAGCTGGCTTCAGCAGCAGCAGACGGTTCACCACCGAGAACGCCAGCTTCACCATCTGGATCAGGTCCTGTCCTGGACCCTCAAAAGCACTGGGCATACATGTGGGTAACAGTGACTGGCATGCCACCTAGCAAGTCCTGAAAGTACTGCACTATGCAATGCTCCCAAAGCTGACAACTTTGCATACCGTAAGTTGTCTTTCTCTAGACTTTTTATCAACGACATTTGTGTGCTTGAAATGTTGGGAATCAATGTGTTTCCAGTGTGCTCTACTGGACTTAAATACATGACATTGTACATAAATCAAAAGAGCCAGTAATAGTATCCAATATTTGATTAACGTGTCAAAAATCAAGAGACAAAAGGTACAATCTGAGGTAAATGAACTGTAAGAGATAGGCTCTACCTGGCCTGTAGCTTGACGACATTGTTGATGTTCTCCACTCCTGTGGCCAGGATCTCCAACACACTGTGTCCAGCCTCCGTGTACAACAGGCCACTCACACACACATCTCTCAGGGTTAGCCTAGACATGCAATCACCAGGTCAGATAGGGTCTATATATACATGTATGAAAAGCATTGTTACTGCTCAATCCATTGAAACATTTTAGGATTGTAATCTCTAGGTGCAGCTTATACATCCCCTTCCCTTCTCTCAAGTCCTGTAAGTTTTCCACTTCGGCCCTTTGAAATTTGTCTGACCCTTAAAAAGACCTTGTCAGCTCTTCTCAATCCCTTCAAAGAAATGATACCTGGTGTCCTTGCTATCATGTTCCATGGTCTCTTCCTTTCCTTCCGACACAAACAGGATATAGTGAAAGATCTCGAGACATCTTCTCCCTGGAAGACAATTGTGACAGGAATCAACAAAACAATCTTACTACATGTACAATGTACAATGTGGGTAAACAGCTACAATGTACACAAAATTGACACCTGAAATGAAGTGTCCATTTTCAGGTTGTGGTACTGTGACTCACCAATCTCCTGTCTGTCTTTAAGGTTTGAGTAGTTCCACTTGTAGAAGGAGGCAAACACTTCCTTCAGTACAAACACTACGGCTGGGATGATGCCTTCTTGGAACTGTAGACCCTATACAGGAAATATTGGAAGCTTCACATATCAACTTGTTAAACTTTAAGATGTTGCATACAAATTGAAAAAGCAATTTGACATGGTTCCTTGTATAGTAACCATAAAATTATATTTATTTCTATAGTATCATAGCATACACTGTGACAGACCAAAGAGATTTTTAACTTCAGAAATTTGTATAGATGCTAAATATTTGATGGTCTACATTTATCTATGACAAGGGAGTTGTTCAATCCTCACCTTGGCCAGTGCCAGTAGCAGCTTCAGGGTAGCTATGGTAACAGGGTAGTACCCAGATGGACGTTCTAACGACATCAGCAGGTTGCCATAGTTACCAGCAAACATTCCACTACCACTGTGAAAAAGATGGGGAGGATAAAATTTTAATCCATCATTCAAACTGGGAGGAAACATGCTTTTACTGGACACAGTGTTTACCCTATTGAGAAGGCTCTAAGTATTGAGTACATTAAATTTTGTAATAATTTTGTTTTTGCATCCATACCTGAGAGCCCTGTTTACATCCATGTGTGAGGAGCCTGCAAATGGTAAGAACCCAGTCTGCTGTAGATCCAGCCATACCTGGATCATAGAGAAAACTTCCCATTATAACAAGTTAAGTATTGCCATGATGTATAACTGATTGTGCAATCTGACATAATTGTATCAAATTACATTTTCTCATTGCACTGTGCAATAAGAAGCAATGAACTCACTATAAATTTACTGAAGTCGTCATTACACAAGTTCAGGAAAAGGAATACAAGTACGGCAAGTACAGTGTCTACCTTGTCAGGTTTATACTGTGCTAGGGTAGCCAAACACTGGACACAGGAAGCAACAACATCAATGGGAGGATTTGTGGCAGCACCAAGTCTGAAAAAAAAAACACAGACACAGATTGTTTTAAAAGTATGATGGCCCCATTGAAAAAAAAAGTCTGGAATCTTACGAAAATAAGGTTGCAATTATTGTGATCTTTTTTCTGTCAATCATGAAAACCCCTAGCGAAGATTGGAAACCATCATTCACAATACATGAATAATTATTCATTTCCTCACCTCTGGATAATAGGATACAGTTTAGCTGTGACTGGTTGTAGAGTTTCTGCCAGTGACTTATCAAAGGACAGCATTTTGTTCAGTAGTTCTGCCACCTCAGTTACTCTTACTGCCAGCTGTTTGGAGGCAGCATCTGGAGTTGAGGTAAAACAATCGTTGTGGTGAGGAATGGAATTTGCCTCTAACTACATTGTAATAAGATGTTGGACATTTTACTTAATATCATGAATATGAACTTTGGCCTTTTTGTGGTATGAACACTTAAGAACAAGTCTATGAAATGCATGGCAACTTACTACCTTCTGTCATGGCACTCTCCTGTATAAACAACGTCTGAAAGACACGTTTGTTTCTGGCTGGAGGCAAGAAATAAGAAATTACAATAAACTGCAAACCTATTCTAAATTCAAAACGGACTTCACTTTTGAGAAGTACCTTTCATCAATCCAAAACAAATCATTTTGTTGCTAACATAACCAAACTGCGAATCAGTGCACATTGTTTAGAAATAGAAAAAGGTCGTTATAAGAATGTACCAGCCACTCAGAGACGCTGTCCTACATGTAAACATACTGTTGAAGATGAATTTCACTTTTTATTATCTTGTCCCATGTATACTGAAGAAAGGTTGACACTTATGAATATGATTTCACGTAACTCAAACATTACCTTACCTAAGACAAGCTCAGATACTTTTAATTTACTGATGTCATGTCCTGAACCAATATCCTTGTATATAGGCCAATTCATATCCTCTGCTCTTCGGAAAAGAAACAATATCATCTGTGACACCTTGAACTGATGTTAACATTGTATCCATGTTCCATATATATTGTATAATCCATCACGCACAATTATAGGGTAGCGTTAGAATAATGTATCTAGAAGTAGATTTTAGTGTTGTTGTTATTTTTTATGTAAACACTTGCCATACATTGTATCCATTGCAATTGTTGCGCAATAAAGATTGATCTTTTTTGATCTTTTTGATCTTTTGTATATCTACTACTATATGTACATATGTACAGAGCTTCTCTTATCAGTTACATGTACGTATACTAATATACAATGTATGCAACAACCAATTTATAATCTTTTATTAGGCCACACCAATTTAATATGTTGGTTCTCGGATTTTTTCAGGAAAAATATGAAGCGACAGGGCGAAAAAAAATAAAAATAAAAACAAATCTAGGCATCCTATTATAGCCCCAAATGCTACGATAGGAGGTATGAAGTCAACACAAAAGGCTGGTTCAAAATTTAAACAATGAATTTTGAACTTCTAATGATACCACTGCATTGAAAGATGAAATAACTGTAACGACTAGGAAGAAAAGGACTGTTTTCAACTGTTCAGGGCAAAATATGAGCATTTTGCAGTTGATTCTGTAATTTTTTTTTNTTTTTTGACTAAATCAAGGAAAAATGAAGAGG